GTTATGCTGAGAACAATAAATACTTGAATCAATCCTTCATCATAGGAAGTAAGTTATGTATAATTACTTGTTTTTACCATGAGGTGTAATCACACCTCTTACGCATGACAGAAGCTAGACGGATTCAAGCTAACAATCCATTTCTTTGTATTCATAAGAAAGTTTTAACACACTTGTTTCTTTCTTGGCTGAATTATTCTCAATAAGTCATTTTACTTATTGTTTTACTCCATACTCTTTGTTATTTTATTTCTCTCTACCTCTCTTTTTAAAATATTTACTTCACTTTCATGTTTTAGTAAGCTATCTTATTACTAAATTTTATCTCAGTGTTGATTTTTTACCTACTTTTTATTATAAAAAATATTGATTTAAGTCTTTATTCTTCTTATTGTAACTAGTACACTTATCATCACACTGTTAAGTTGTACCTTTTGTTTATTATGTTTAGTGATGCGATCCATTTTACTGTAATCATTGACTCATGAACAACTTTGATTCAGTCAGTCAGTCAGCTACAACGTAGGACCAGGCACATATATGCATCGGTCCAAGTTTCCATACCTCATTAACACAACAACATGGACACCGGATTCATAAAAGTAGTTAATTCAGAGGTGGTAATATATAAAAGAAAGATTGCAACAAGGATATAGTACAGAAAGAAAGAATTAGTTCGTATAAAGAAAGATATGAAGTGATTTTAATCTCTTAGTTTAAGGGAAGACAGAGAGTGTATACACCTACACCATTGTGATCGATTCTGAGCCATGTCATCAAGAGTCTCCAACCATTGGTTATGATAGTCACGCGGACCCCAACCAAGTAGTCTCCCAACATGGCTCAGACTAGAAGTTAATGACTTCAAGCATTGATGCCACATTTTGGTTTGGCCGACCCAAACTTTCTTCCAACCTTGATTAGTTTAATATGTTCATAGGTGAGTATAAATATTATTGTACATTAGAATAAATCCTAGTGAAGAATTAATGGAAAAGAATATTATCCGTTTATTTATGTTCTGTCATTTATGCAATATGGAAAGTTCTTAGCATTTTGATTGTAATGAAATTTTATTTTATACTATTTATCAGCTTACCAAATTTACTGATGACAGTTTTCACTTAAACACAATTCCATTATGTAATCATTTTAGCTTAAGTTAATTACCATAATTATAGCATTCCAGCTACTGAAAATTCTGAATAATATTTCTAAGTAAACTGTGAAGTTATTTCAATTCATAATAAAAAAAATAGTCGAAACTTACTGCTTTTTAACTAAAAGCAATTTAAGACAGATATCAATATAGAACATAGCAATGAATAAACTCAATTACCATGTCAAAGCTCATGGATTTGGCTTTGAGTTATATTGTTCGTAATAGAAGCTAATCACACTACTCAATTGACTGAAACGAAATAGATGAAATGAGGCTCACATTTGTGATCTGTTCGATGAAGACCGGTTGATTATAACTAGCATGCTACTGCTTTACTATAAATTATCGACGCTGGGTACGGTGTCATACAAATAATTACTTTGACACAAATCAAAGTCACATATATCCAAGTAATAATTTATGTCCGTTAACTTACTTTATTCGCGTCCAAATCAACTAACCACACATCGGCGGGGAAACGAAAATCTGTCTTTTGACTTAAAAATGTAGCTGGGATACCAATTAAAAATGGTGTTGGAGAAAGTAATAACTAAATTATGAAAAAAAGAGAGAGATAAAAAAAAGATACAGCAGAATATTATCAAATCTTGCAGAACATACTAGTAATTTCTAAAAGGTATAGCCCGTTTTTATATAAAGAGTAAAGACATATTGAGGGAGCAAACATTGGAAAACTGAAAGCACTGGACGGTCGTTTCGTCCTTGTACAGGACTCCCCAACAGTGCACATATACGATCCCGCGACTGAGATCTGCAACGTTTGAAGAGATTACAGGTTCACCTAATCTGTGAACAAAACGAAAACTCTGTGACACTGACCTATAAGTGTGTCTCAGCCCAGCTAACTAGAGAGAGAAGTTCAAGTTCGAAGATATATATATATATATATATATATATATATATATATATATATTTACACAAGCAGTCAGAAGCACGAACAACAACGACAAGTCTAGTTGAAAATACACTCATTTATATATTGATTCTTACACCCATTTTGATTAATAATTAGGATGAAATCACATATATGGAAAATACTTAGAGTTATAACAAATCATATGCTGAATATAGTCCATGTTAACTCAATACAAGAATATACAGAAGAAAATATCATCCGAGAAAGTAAAGAAATACGACATTGTGCAATCATCACAAAACGTAAGTCATGTTGAATAAAAATTATAATGAATAACTCAATCAAATTTTGACTTTTCTTTTTGTCATATCAAGATCATAGATATAACGGACATTCAAATTAAAAAGAACACCCAACTGCAAGACAAGTTCATTTAGCCTTTTAATAGTATGTGCAGGGAGTTTTCTTTAAAGAAATTTAAAGCAATTAGTCCCTTTGATAAATTCCGATAATGTAATAATAATAATAATCAGATTATCAGAACTATGTAACATATTGTGTTAACATTATTATTATTACTCTTATTATTATCCTCATCTCATCTTACCGCATTTCCAGTCTATTTGACCTTTTATTTTTTATATATGAATGTTCTTAATAAGTTTATGTGTGATCAGATTGTTCGAAATGTATTGCGCTAATAAATCACATAGTTCTGATAATCTTCGTTTTCTTATTAAATTACCGAAACGATAAGACATTTGACTTAAACTTATTGTAATCTTCCACAATCATCAAATAATTGACCACGATACAATTAAATTTATATACAGCTAGGCCTGAGAAGTGGTGGTTCAATGGTACCATGTCACAATATAGTCAGGTATTAAGTTACAGGTTCAAACACTTTCCCACCTACTTAAATGTGGTCAGCCAAACAGCGTCACTAACGCTTACACATATATCTGTTAATAATAAGGCTTGAAAAACGAGTTTATATTATGATGAATTCCGAACCGAATTCTAGATTTATACTTTACATGAATCTTGGTCATAGAACAAATAAAAAAGATGATCCTAAAATTAAAGCTTTCCATTAGTATTGGAGCAGAGACACAAACTGAAGGATCAATCATATGATTCAAAGTAATCATGAAGTTCTAAAGACTTCTAGGAAAAATTATGAAATTTATTAAACTGACGAGGCAAACCACGAAGAAACATAAATACATTGACTTACTAGAATTAACAAACAACAATGTGTACCTAGATGTTTTTTTAAGCATTTCTCATTTCTACTATGGTATTCAAGGATAATTTTGAAATATATGTCTATATAACTCTCCAAAAGATTTAAGATTAAACATTTTCACTTACATTTTCTCCTCCTTTTAAACTATTTGGCAACAAAGGTATAGCAGGGAACATATATTGAAGTGGATATAGCATAGCTGTTAGTGCCATCACTGACATTGTTAAAGCATTATAATCTCTAGATTGTAGTACAACCTAAAATAAAAAAATAAATGTGATGAAAATAAAAAAGAAAGATATATTTTGTTATAAAGTCATTTAAATAATATAAATGAATTTGTATCTACCATAAATCAGAACAAGTAGACTGAGGTTGGTTATTTTCTATTGATACTAATGTTCATATCATGGTTTAAACTCAATATTCACTAAATCAAACCAGTTAAATTTATGAATGGTTGTTGACTGGGATATATGCTATTCTAAAATATATAATTAAATATATATAATGAAAAGTTATTCGTACCATATATTGATATTTGTATCTTAAATTACTTTTCTAAAAAGCTTTAGAATATGTCATATATTGTGGTGAAATTATAAAGATATCATTCCATTTGGGAAGCAATTTTTCTACCTCTACTCCCGAATAATCATTCTGTACCAAACATGTATTTACTCTGTGCTAACTTGGAATAAATTTTCAAAGTGTATTAGTACTAAACTGATATCGTTGAGATAACTTTGGAGAATCAACATTCAGTTGGAAAGTTTCATTTTACTTCATTGTGAATTTACATTAAATGCTCATAACCTATTTCGATAGTCTAAAACAAAATCTTTAGGCGCCAAAATCACGACATTAAATTGTAAATAAATGGACTTAATTTTTATTGACTGTTTATAATTTTTCACGTAACGGCCTACATACCATAATATTATGTATATAGCTTAGTGATGAATTCTCGAACTGCTAAACTGAGTGATTTGAGCATGAATCACATAGCGAGCACGATTTCACTCAGAATTATAGGTAATCCTTTCTGAAGCTGGTGCGAAATCTACGTCCAGAAATTCTTCCTGACTACCGCCAACGAATTAACATTATTCATGTTGTAATAAAAATAATAATAATCCATTCAGTTAGCTCCACAAATATTTAGGTTAAAAACGTCAGCAAATTAAGTTGATCAGGTTGTCTCAAAGATTACTAGGACTGTACAGGAAATTTCAGAAGAGAAATAGGTTTATAAACTGGTCTCACTAGTAAATATGCTTTCATTTTGATACAGAGAAAAAGGCCATTGTGAAAAACAGAAGCAAATTTTCTCTTAAGCTTTCCTAACAACCTGTTTCATAGCAAATATCAGGGTGCCCACTGATGAATACGAAACGCTGCAGACATTGTTAATGAGTACATTCATTATCCGAAATTTTCTCAACATATCTAGATCAAATAGATCAAGGTCTGGTTGTTCTGTTAGATAACATTTATTTACAGTTAATTCAATTTAAGTACAAATCACACTGTAATTCGCCAACCAGTTTTGGTACTCCATCTGATGCATTTTTAAAAGTCTTCTTAGATGGCTTAATTAGCGGTCTCCCAAGTAGTTTATAAGTTCCTCTAGACAGCAAAACGATATCGGATGCCATCTCAATTTGAAGACGCGTTGATACGCCGTTAATTAGGATAGTAGCACACTTCCTCTGAATGCCATAGTCTATTTGAAAAGCTGCTACTCAAGAATTTGATTTACATTCGACTGACTTCATAATACGTTAAAGATGGTTATGCTTATTCTTGGTTTAGGATATATGGTTCGTTGGACAATAACCTTCTTTATGTCTACGTTTGTTGCACATCTGAAATTCATGCTCCTTAAATGCGCTTAATCGTACATAATGCCAATCACCACATAACCAACAGCCATTCGTTGAATTGTTATGAGTTGTTTCTAATATTCTCAGCTTCTGAACTCTTAATCTAGTAATAGCATTGACACTACTGTAAGTCAAATTCGGATTTATCTGTTCAATTAATATTTTGTTGTACCTGGTGTTTTGTAGCCGTCTACACTCATCGGTCATTCTCTTAAGTGTGATGTTTGGATCGTGATCCAATCAAGCTAAAAGTCTAGTCCTTACCTCAGTATCTTGTGATAACTGAAGACCTTTGGTGAATATTAGGCATTTAAATTGGTCCGCCGTCAATGAGTGTAATTTGAACCCCTCACACTGCTAACAACATTTGCTAGAGCACCATAATCATCGGCTTCGATTTTCACCAAATTTAGACACTGATATCAAATACTAAACAATGAGAGTGATTCACTGAATATCTCTGATAGTTGGGTTACCCTCTCCTGGAAACTGAGCTCTCGAGGTAACCCTGGCAATATGTGGTCAGCGTAACGTACATGTTCATTATTTCCCGACTCATGCATCAACAATCGAATCTTCCATGCATCATTGTGTTTACCGGATTCTATTCTAAACGTGTCTTGTCTCGCCACCACTGTTATGAAGTTTCTTATCACGACCCAACTACTGTTATTGCTTAGTATTTTAGGACACTCCTTCTTTCAAAAAGTCCTCCCAAATCAGAACACGATTGAAAAGGGACGTGATTATATAAATAAACAAGGTTAAATGGAAGAAGGATTCACAATAAGAAAAACGTTAGTATATTTATAACTTTGACATAAGATTCTAGAGCCTTCTCTAAGTATCCGCTAGCGCTGATTGGATAGTGAATAACTAATCAGAATGTCTCAACATAATCTTTCAAGGAATATACTTTATTCCAATCTATGGCCCGCTAACACATTTGGTCCCAACACACGTGTAATAGGCAAGTATCAGTAGTGATTCACAGCAAACAAGGCAATATATGCTGTTTTTTTTAGTTTTTCAGCTTGTTGTTTTAATGTTATGGTTCAATATAGTGAATTTTAACTGTTTTAAAAAAGTACACCTAACTTTAGAAACACAGATTTTAAAGATACTAGTATATTACGGGCGTTTGTCCTTCTACTTAAGTGAGGGAAACTAATCATCTGTTAAAAATAATGAGGAATTTGATTACATGACAAGAAAGTTATAGTTACACAGTTCAGTGTTAAATATTTTATACATAAATGACAACTTTTAATATAATTAGTACATGGCTAGTAGAGAAATTCAGATCCCGCGTTTCGTCCTATCTGGAATTTATCACTTAGATGTCTTTGCAACCGAGTTTAAATATTTACGCTAAGAACAAAACATCGCGTTATCTACTGAGCTACTGGGTTGATAATAACCACTAACTTGTTCAATGATAATATTAAAAGTGAAACCATAGTTTTTGAATTTTGCTCTCTATTGGTCGTACATGAACTATCTTCGTCATCATCTCTAGATACCATCATTTTTAAAGAAAAAATCTTATTTCAAAAGTAGCTAAAATAGTTTAGATTTCTTAGCTTTCAACTTAAAACTGTCGATTTCAGTTGTTTTAAATACTTATAACAGTATTCTGCCACATAACTGTATGATGACTGCTTAATTTCACAGGTTGAAATCATGAGTCGATTAAAGCTAGACCACCATGGAAAACCTGGAAGCACTGGACGGCCGTTTCGTCCTAATATGGGACTCCTCAGCAGTGCGCATCCACGATCCCGCATCACGCGGGGCTCGAACCCAGGACCTACTGGCTTCGCGCGCGAGCACTTAACCACTAGCTTCAATCGACTCATGATTTCAACCTGTGAAATTTCTAAAAAAGCTCTCCACAAAACCCATTCTGATTGCTTAATTGTTGAAAACTGAAACGCGTATTTGCATACATGCATTTTATTCACATAATTATATATATATATATATATATATATATATATATATATATATATATATATATATATATATATATATATATATCATTATCAGTAGGATATGAAGTGAAAGATACTGGGTTCGACTCTGTGTGAATATCAGCACTTGACTTGCTCGTCAGTCCCAAACACAACAAAATAAGTCTACTGGATTCCACAGATTGCCATAATTCATATATTTCAAATTGACAATAAGTTAGTGCGTGGGGTTTGTAAGGATTTTAGTGTGACCACAGTTTTAGCCACGAACTTATCTTAGTTAGACAACCATTTAAAACCTGAGAGCACCGGAAAGACGTTTCATCCTAGCATGAGACCCATTGATCTTGCCCATCCACGAACCCGCATCCGAGAATCGAGTCCAAAGCCTTCGGTATTGCGTGCGGACTATTATTCACCATAACACTGAGTTGGTATCCAAGAGTGTTAATGTCTAAATTTAACCAATCTACAATATTGTTCAACCCTCATCAATCGCCTGTGGTGAGAACTTGTCTCACACCCATCAGGGATTGAAGTCCACTGATAACACCTTCCCACTAGAACATCAGGAGCTAAATTGTATAGCTAGTCACTAGTAAGGACATGATTTTTATCAATGTAGGGGGGTTTGTGGATATTGCAGTGTTCGAATAGTTGAAAAACATGAAATTTTTTATCCATGAAATCAAAAGTTTTAAAAAGTTAACAATGGATGTTATCTTACATCAAATCAACAATAATAATGATTATACACAGAAAATAAATATGCAGTAGAAAAGATGTAATGAAAATGAAGAATATACAAAGAATTATTCATATCTCGCCAAGAAGGCATTGATGATGTTGAACGGAATGACAGTGAAAGCTACCCAATCAAAACCATCTAGATTATAGAGTATATCACCACACAATGCATCTACCTGAACTGTAAATATTCTCCATAATTTTAAACATTTTCAATCTTCCTACAATTGTTACCACTTATTATTCACTTTGTTTTGATGATTATGTGTATAATGTGACATTATACCACATGTTTTATTATGCACATCTTACATCTTACTACAGAATGAACTACTTATTTTATATACATTTACTGAAACGAAATTCGATAAAAACTACTCAGTATTAAAAAATATATAATAATAATTTACCTTTTGTTCTAGCATAATAGCACTTAACACTTTCAAACATGTCTCCATACCTAACAGCTCCAATGGTAAATGCAACGGGAAATCAATCAACGTTAAACGTGTTTTATCTGGTAAAGCAAATATCAACTTTTCATAAAATGATTCTGGTCCAACAGTGAGCTGGAAAACAATTAATCCAATATATATATATATATATATATATATATATATATATATATATGCAGTTGATTTTAAATAAGAAAATTATTATTGTGCCCAATATCGATGGAGGTATGAATTATCTATATAGTTTATTGCGAAATCCTTGAATTATAAAACTTTTCTTAATAAAACAGTTTGGTATCCATATAAACTGCTATTTTACGTATTCCTGCAATTGGTCAATTAAATGACTAAACCGTTGCATGAAATTTAGTGATTAAAAATGTTGTCTCGTTCATAAAACTAGGATAATGAAAACTGTACTCGACAAATTTAGCATGGTAAGTTTGTTATTCATAAATAATAAACCCAGTTTTTCTAACTAAACAGGTGTAAATGTAAACCATTAGGTACTAAATCATTGGGCCTATATGTAGTGTGCTATCCACTAAACCTATTGATCTTGGGTTCTATCCTCGTCTGAGTCATTTTTATTAGCAGTAGAGGAGCCCTATATTAGGACAAAACAGTACTCCAAATAATTCTTAAAAACACTTCTTTACTTTTAATCAAAAGTTTCTTATTATGAATACAAATGTAGTGTTCTCAACTAATTTGTCGAAAAGCACCCCAACTGAATCTGTCATTGGAAGCTGGAAATCAACCTTTTCTCATATAAAAAACAAACTATATGACAAAAGATAACCATAAAAAATAAACTGAAGTGTGATTTTTTATTAGTATACATGCCCAATGCAAATATCAAACTTATCACACATTGTAAACCATGCATATTTATTGAATATAAATTATAATATTTTATCAGGCGTCGTCTAAATTTGAACGAATAGTTTCACCAAACTATGGTCACCGGATTTATAAAACATATAAAAAGAAATCTATATTTGCAAAATTTCCAGCAACTGGACTTATGAAAAAGCTATAATTTCCTACAGTCTAATCCGAGCTTCATCAGAGAAGCCCTAATCAGAACTAACAATTTTGGTGCTTGAAAATTTTTTTCTGAAAACGTTTAAACTGCCAAGTGAAACATTGAAGTTTTTACAGCTTCAGACGCTTGGATGGTTAAAAACATAATCTTCCTAATGAAACACAATATGTAATAATTCTTTTGTATCCATTAAGTAAATGACAAGGAATAATAAACCTTAATGTTAAAACTTTGTCACAATCGGCTTTTTCAAATAATTAAACCGAAAAAAACACTTAATAATTATCTCGGCCGAATATCTTAGTTATGCATTGCTAAACGTAAATTTTATGTTTGGTATATATGTGAGCTACACGTAAAGAGCGATAAACTCGGTTGAATTATCTACTTGAAGTGCATAATACGGTTATATATATGTTAGAAATAAAAGTAGTCATACAATTCATTAGGCATAGATTTAACATGCAACAGTTGTTTATTAGATGTTTATCTCAGTAACGTCTACATTTAAAATTATTATTTCTCCTTACGCTTCATTTAATCTAAATAGCTAGTGGATGCCTCACACAAATAAATTGAAATTTTCTCATTCATTAGACATTTTTATCATCAATATATATATATATATATATATATATATATATATAACCACGACTATACGTCAGTGAGTATTTTAAATATAGAAAATTTTGATAAAAACATCCTACCTAGAAACAAGAAAATAAATTTGAATACAAATATTGAAACAATGATTTCCACATGTACTCTAAGTGCCTAGCTATTGTGAGCTTAAATCATTTATTTTACCATTCGGAAAATTAAAATAATTTAAGTACTCTTTACTATAAAGTATTAAGAAGTATTTTATCATCAAATGTATTCATGGATTCAATTTTGTTTTGAATTTTTGAGTTATAGATTGTATATTATCCTTTAAATTACTGATAAGTCTTGCGGATTGAACGCTATATTCGTTTCCTAAGCTATTCTGTAACCCCCAAGTTAGAACTATACA